CCCCTTCTCCTCCTGGACTAAAAGTAAAAATATTTATTTTCCGATTCGTTTTGCAGCATGGACATGCTCGAAAAATGCTTTTTGACAGACAAATACAAATTTTAGTTGCCGAAAAACAATTTGTTCTTTACAACATTTATAAAAACAATTTTGCCCGAATAAGCCCAGGAATCGTCTTTAAACTGCCATTTAAGGTTGTTTTTTTAACATTTTATGTTTAAGGACAAGTTGTACGTTGTACTATTTATATACGTATATTTTTGAAGAAAAGCTGAATATATGTCGAACATTTGAATCAAAACATGTAGCACTGGCAAGTGTTTTTCGATGTTTATATTTGTTTTTTTTCGCAGTTCGGTCGGAGAAAAGTACATTTCGGGCTTGGCACTAAGTCCACTGAAGCCAATTCACTGTATTTTACTGTCTTTAGTATCGATAGGGTGAATTTTTAAACTTTTTGGGTAATGTTTGAGTTTGAAAATTGTTTTCACTCCTCGGTTTTTCGCGAAAAAATAACACTTTTGGACCACGGTCAAGATATCGTATCAATCAGATTGCAGGAAATCAAACAATAGCAGTAGGCATGCACAAATAAAAAAATAAATAGTTATATCAACACTCGTGGAAATTGGGAAAACTCGAAATTGTGTGAAATCACTCCGCCCTTCGGGCGTTGTGTTTTGCACATAATTTCTCGTTTTCCCAATTTTCACTCGTATTGATATAACTGTATATCAACACGGAAAATGTTTTATATTTGTTAAATCAAAACCATTACACTGAAGGCTAGCAACACAAGAATTCATGATCTACCGCCATGAAACAACTTCAGGGTACAAAGTTAAAATTGTGACACCTTTCATGGTTCAAGTCCAGGCTTTCGCTTCCGCTCTGTCTAGTAGAGCGATAGAGCCTGGGAAACAGTCTGATTTTATGTAAAACTGAAGTAGTCCTTTCATTATTTCAAGGTGGCGGATTACTTACAAAACAGTGGGCATTGGAAATATGGACATATTTTTAAGGTTTTACAATGGAAATCAAACATGAAAGCCACAAAGCGTTTTCATTGTACGTTTTACTCTGAACATGAAGGGTGTTGAAGGGATATTTTAGCAGGGCTGTAGAGACCGGGAATGGGGGTATAACACCCCAATTGTATTTTGCAATAAAACACAGTTTTTGCTATTTTAATAAGATATGGCATTGTTGTACAATTTAACCACATTTATTTTAATTTACTTTTATTCAATTTTTGAGACAACACCAGTAATTCACGCTTTCTTATATTCGAGATTGTGTTCGTACTAATGAAGCCTGAAGAAAATTTTCTTGTCTTAATATGATAAAACTGCACCAAACAACATCACCGATTAATGTGAAGGACAGTGTTGATCGTTAGCACTCCTTCTCTAAGTCACATCACTTTTATCCTTGCTTTTGCTACTGTGATAATGTATATCACTCATCTCTGATTTCCCTAAAGTCATGTGTACGATTATTAGCTAACGTGCTTGCTGCTATATGCGTCATTCAAAAGTGCACGAAATTCAGGACCACTAAAGGGGGTGAGAAGGTGTGCCAGTCCTCCGGACCCGCCTAATTACCTATGACAAACAATTGGGATTGGTTTTATCTTGTTGGGAGAAGCATTTAGTATTTTAGTTTTAAACGCAGGCTGTATATCTGAAAATGTAGGGCAATTGATGAAAGCGCTGGGCGGGGGGGGGGGAGAACAAGGGAAGAATAGGAAAGCGCTGGGGGGGGGAAGAACAAAGAAAGAATAGAGAAAATTACGCCTCTGCCAAATAATGTATTCCATAGGGTGCCCAATTCGTAGTCCTATGCATAGAGATTATCAAAGAATGGATTGGCGATCGTGGGAAAAATCGAGGAAAAATTGAAGTTTCTTAATTTAAATGGGGCAAATTACGCTATCTGATTGGCTAAATCTCGCTCTCTATATATGAAGTTTCGTTCCTAGATGCAAAGTGGACTGTAACAATTTTGGCACAGGCACAGCATTGAAAATAACACAACTTTAAAAATTTCCATTTTTTTCAGTTTTAGAGTACTTAAAGAAAGAACTAAAAGCTAACAATCAGCAAAAATACCTGGAGTTAAGCGTAAAACAAAGTTTTGGAACAATAGAAATGTTTTAAAGTATTTTTTCTTGGTTTTTGCACATGAAGTTTGCCCCCATTAGCAAACTTGAAAATGCCCTTTTTGTTGTATTAAATTTATCCCGCACTATTTCGTTTTATTAAATTTATGTCCTATGACCGTTGGTAAAATGATAAAGTCCTACTATTTTAAATCTTTTGAACATATATAAAGTTGAAATTTGCTAAAAATGTTAAGACAATGGATATGTATAAACTGGCAAAATTTCAGTCACGTATGCATGATGGAAATCAAATATGAAAGCCAAAGAATTTTCATTGTGTGGTTTAATTTGAATATGAAGAATGTCGATCTAGTATTTTTTTTAGGGTCAAATGAGCTAGGGTGAGGTGGGGTGGAGGAATGGGGTGTGATTCATAATTGACCTATGGGTGAGTGACCTTTGAATTCATCATCTCTCGTAGACCGAAACATTTTCAAAAATACTGTTTCGTATGTTTGTCCTTCAATCTATCGTACTTCGTGTTTGGTTCATAACCTTCAAGCTCATTCTTATTCTCGACCAGGCATTTTTTCTCTAGACGTCTAATAAGTTAGGAAGGGAAGCGGTTGCCCCAGCTGCTCCCTGCTGTGTGCTGTACTGGTTTACTGACCTAAATTAGTTATTTATCCTGCAGTTGATAAATTTCGACAAACAAATACAATAATATAACCTTACCTGTATATCTTTCTTAACATCGAAAATTTATTCTTAACTGAATTTTCCATTAGCCGCAAAATATACACATTCTTATCATTAATTTGGTATGTACTTTACAGGAAATCTGTTAAAACTGTCTGGAGAAAAAAATGGAAACACTTCGGAAGTTTACTACAGACATACATGAAGGTATGGTGAATGGTAACAAGAAAACTGAAGATGTTATTAAAAGAAATAAACGGAAAAACTATGAAGGAATGGAAGAAGAATTACATACTATAAATAACTGCTTCATCAAACACAAAAAGATGGCAAAAGAAATGGAAAATGAAGTAGATAAAAGTGACAAAATCTGGGATGAGGATCGAAAGCGCATTGATCGCTTAGAGAAAATTGTGGAGAAACTCCAGCCCCAGGTAGACGAATTAATGAAGAAAAACGATAATCTTGAAATAGCACGGATCACTAACAACTTCGGGTATGGCCTTGCCGCACACATCTACCCACCACGTACGAAAGTCATGTTCGGTCCAATCTTTGCAAACCTGATGTTATGGCTGGACGAGAGTAAGGATAGACCAGAAGGGCGTGAAGGAAACAGGAAGTGGCGTGAATTGAAGAAAGAGTTTATCTGGTCAGATGAGCACGAAAAAGTGTTCTATAAAATGCTCAAGTTCAGTAAGACTGTTGATCACCAGAAGGTCGATTTTCAATCTGCCTTCACCGATAGAGAGAAGCGATACGTTGATGTTATCCGTAGAATGAGCGAACAATTAAATTAATATTAATTAAAAAGACGTTTGATGATAACTTTGGAATTTAATCTAAATATTACTAATTTATTCTCGTCTTGTTTTGACTGAACTCTTGGGTTTCAAGATGATAACCTTCCGCTTATGTATACTTGTCGGCTGGTATTGGCAATCTTAAGGTAATCTTTTCATGTATCCACTTTTCTTTCAAGTTATAAGTGTTTTATTTACTTAATAAACATCGTAAATTGACATGGTAAATATTCATGTAATGTTGTAATAAGACTTTAATATTAATAATTCTGTATATACGTAGTAGCAATGATGCAATATACTGTATGTATCAAGCTAATGATAACAATACGTTTTTTAATAATGAACAATGACATAATTTATGTAGGGTTAATTAATTATAGTATAAAATTCAAAATTAATCTAATATTAATAATGTTAATACTGTAATAACAAATTCACAACCGCAATTTATTTGTGTTTTTACTGAAGTATTTAAAAAGTTGTTCAACTCGAATAATAAACGTCGTATCGCTCCTTGCACTGCTATAAAATAACAACACAACTCGATTAATTTGCTCGCATATTCGCCAAGAAGGACAGTCGGGGCACGAGAGCTATAGGAGGAACCCTAAAAATCCGTAATTTACGTGCAATACATCTACAATATTGCTACTTTTAAGTTGATCTATGATACAGACATTCATCTACTAAACTATAATTCTCGAAGACTCATGAACTTATCCCCGAGCCAACGGCGAGCGCCGTTCCGGGCGTAAGCCCGGGGCGAGGGTACTAATTCCGCCCGGCTAATTATAACCGGCTATGTGAAAAAATAGCGAAGTACAAAGTTGTCATCAATTTTGTTTATGTCATGGACGGTTTTCGACGTTATACGCATGCGCGAGTATAAGCTCTGGCTAAAGAATTGTTTTTCATTTTGAAAGGACGTATTTTGCTGTTTTACAGCAACTTTTTGTTTTAACTTTCGTAAAAAAGTTTACAAAAGTGCAAAACATTTTTGTTTTCGATTTTAACTGGAAATAAGCCTGTAGTTTCATGCATGAATTAATGGCTGTTCAACCGTGAAACAAGGTTCGTAATAATTGTTTTGATGTTGATGTTTTTCAGTAATAATTTAATCGTTGTTGTGCCGGTTTGGGTAAGTGTCAACAGTTCAGTAGTAAAATTTCACTCCGTATACCTGCTTTGTGTTGTCGATTTTATTCAAATCTGCGAAATTTTTACGCCATTCTTAACTCGATAATTCATGCACAATAAATGTGTTTTAATGCAAGCTGGTATACATGAAATTGAAGCGAATGTTATCGTTATTAAGCTAGCGCATGAGTTGTTTATGATGGCGTTTTTATACTTCATCTGTTAAGAAAGCCGGCGAGGGGTTGCTGCATGCATGTATTTTTTAGTATGTGTATGTACGAGCACCAAATGTCAACATACAAAAATGGTAACTGTAAAATTTGGGCTATAGAATGACTGGCTGAAAAGTCGGATATTCAGTAGGATATATAAATTCAGTTTGGTTTATCGCGGTTGACCTCCCATATTTTGCGCACGAATGTAGTGAACTAATCTTACCCAATTCTAAAGGCCGAGACACACCTGACGCCATTCGACAACGCGGCGCGATTTTTCAGTTTTTGAAAGTTTACATAATAGAACAGCGAATGAATGAAAAGTTTAAAAAATATGTAGACCACATAACTCAAAATGTTATACCGCTTCTAAATATTTGGAAAACTTAAACAAGATCAAAGTCCATAGGTCAGTGAAAATCGAAAATCGCGCCGCGTTGTCGAATCGCGTCCAGTGTGTTTCGGCCTTAAGGAATGACCTTTATATAATAACTACAGTGAAACACCCAATTTGATTGGTCAACAGCCGTGCAGGATCAGACAATCTTGCGGGGAAATTCTAAACAGAAATTCTTGCACATAATTTCACAAATATACTCGCATTGTAAAGTTTCATTGTAGGCTACAATACCTTTCGACTTTGAAGTAAGTTTGCAATTATAGAGACGTTGGTTTAGTTGTATGAATAAATTTCTGATCCGCGATACATTGCTGTTCATCAAGTAGCAAGGCGTAGCATTGAAATTCATCAGACCATGGCAAGTACAAGTGTACAACATCTCTGCTTCAAAGTTCAAACGCTTCGCAATCTTCAAGTATTCAGGTGGAGAATCTTCATAACTACTTTGGCTTTCTGTTTAGCTGGTTTTCCATTTCAAATTTCGTATATTTTATAGAACAAGTACGATCGTACTATAGTGGACCAGGAACTGCGTGACCCAGTTTCGATCTTGTGCAAATCGTTAAACGTTCAAAATCTTCGAGATTTTGACTTGATAAACAAATAACTAGACACTTGTGAAACTAATGTTCTCGAAGTTTGCAACGTAGACTGAGTTCGCTAAATGTTTTGCTTTAATTTGGTCATGCAAGATACACTTTATCCGGGCAAAATGTGTCTAGTGCCGTGTGTATATAGCCTAAATGAGGTGTAAATCTGGACAAACCATAGATAACTAAATGCGCAGTTTTCAAAAGTATTTCCTCGCATTTGAATTCAATAGATAAGTTAAATGTCCCACAATATTTAGAATAAACATGCCGTGCCGAAGTCAGCTAACTTTTGCCGTACATCAAATTTTGCCTTGCCGTGCCTGCCATTAATTACAAAATAAGTTAAGGTAACAAATTATCTGAATTGTTGCCAGGTTAATGCAATTTCATCTCGCTTAGTCATGGCTTCATAACTGCATGCTTGTGCTAAAAACAAATTTTCATGTCTTTGTTTTTACGGTTCACGATTTTCTATCGGACTATGAATATTATATGACAGCCAGATAGCAATATTACTCCACTACGCTTTGAGAAACTAAGCCAGCGTGTTCAATTTAGTCAACTTAACGCTTATAATTAATTGTTATAATTAGTCGTTCACATTCTTGAGAAGCTTTAGACTATTGTGATTGTGTTCACAACAATAGACAAGACAATGTCTTTCTTATCGTTTGCGTTTGCTAATATATTTGCTGAATATTAATGATATGTATATATTATTTGCTACGAATACAGTCAAAAATTGCTTGTATCTTGCTTCTAAAGTCAAAAATAAAAAATCGAACACCGTCAATCGATGCGGAATATTGCTTAGAATAATTGTGTCAAATTTCATTCCAATCAGACAAGTAATGACGGAGCCTTAGGGTTTTTTCAAAGAGCGTCGCCCCCTAACAACAACAACAACAACAACAACAACAACAACAACAACAACAACAACAACAACAACAACAACAACAACAACAACAAGATTAGCAGCGATTGGGGACCAGTTCCTGGTCCAAAAAGACTATGTATTTTCGCCGCATATTTTCGCGAATTTGCGATCAAATTCTGTTCACATTTGTTGTTGTTTTCAATAGCGTGGAGTAGCGATTCACCGATTGGTTAATTCACGATTGTTGTGAGAACTGCACATTTCATCAGTAATTTTAATCAAGTTAACCGTCGTTTCACTGTAGTAATTTTATAAAACAATTACCAAATGGTTTTCCCGTGCAGGATAGCATGATCCATGCACTTGGGATGTTGCTCGACTTTCGGAAAGCGCAAAAATTCACTCACCTACGGCTCGTGTATTTTCACGCTTTCCGAAAGCCTCGCAACATCCCGCGTGCATGTATCACGCAATCCTGCACGGAAAACCATTCGGTATTCTTTATCTCTTTGTGCGCGTAACATGAGAGGTTTTACGGATTTATTGCTGCCGAGCAGAGTAAAGTAGCACCTTCTTCTCGACACATTCTCGTCCTCAGAGCCATTTTCATTAGGTCACTTGTTGAAATTTGGCTCGGGAGAAGACGACTAAAGTGTAAGATCTAATTGGCTTCTCAGAGAACTATTATTCCGCAGAGGTTGAGCAGTTTCCACTACACAAAATTATTCTATCAAAATATGTTGACTCAACACAAATGCAACGTTTCTTCATAATACTTGTCTGTAAGAATTGTTAGGGGTGCTAAAGCGTCCCAACTCAAGAGTATGCGTTTTAGAAACTACTCAATCTCGTTCCCGGAGTATGCCTGTTCGTGGGTTATGCAGTGGCATGCCACTACATAACTCGCGAACATGCATACTCTGGGAACGAGATTGCAAACTACTACAAGTTTTCTTGCTCTTCTTGTTCCGTGTATCCCAGGGCCTATGAATGACGCGCGTGGCCGATATATTATAGTCCCTGGGAAGAAGGGTGACTCTCGACACTTATATCACAGAATAAGAAGGTACAGCAGAAGCGTCACTCGAGTCAGTTCCCTTATTGTTTTAGGTCCACGGAAATTTAACTCGCTCACGCCATCCTGGCTAGTATAACCGGAAATTTTTATTAGGTTTTGGTAGGTACAAAGTGCTCATGCATGGTTGTACTAGCCAGGATGGCGTGATTGATGACGAATCGCTTGTAAAAACGCGGACAAATATTTGCTTGAGTGACGCTTCTGCTGTACCTTCTTATTCTGTGCTCATATTTACTGACAACAGAGGAGACTTTCGTCTACGCATGTGCGAGAAACGTAAGCGTGGAGTGCACATGAGTGCGGGTTAATCGCGTAACTGAATTCTAGAAAGAAACACCAAATTGGCCAAAACTACTCGTGTTAATGAAGTCGTTTTCTTGTTTCTTTACTGTTTCTACCTCACAATTTTAGGCATTTCCAACTTAGAAGTGTTTGCTTTGGAATAAGAACGTGACAAATATACCTGTTTTATATGTAGCTATATCTTTTTCGAAGTGAGATATACAAGTGCACCTGACTTTCTTTAAATTCGTACTTGCCCTATTTTTAACTCCATAAAACTACTTTTATCCATGGAAAAACTATTTCACTTTAAAAACAAGCTTTTTTGAATTTTTGAGATGATATAGACTAATTTTTTTGCAAACAGTGATTCAGTACTCGGTAGTGTACTTGTTGTATATGAACAAAACTAAAATCAGTTCAACATCTATCAACAAAAAGAAATCGCGCTTATTACTACTGTTTAGAAGATAGACAATTAATTTAATTCACTAGAAACTCGTTCGAAAATATAAACTAGAAATCGGCCAACAAATTGTCACGAAATACTGCAATGAAAATAGGGTCTCTGAACTACCGATTTCACGGAACGGTAAAGTTTCTGTGCAAAGATCGCCCCTTTTCCCAATTTTTATCGAGTAGATCATCGTGTTATCAACTCAAGGATTATGTATACTTTAACATAAAAGAGTAAAAAAACTGGTGATAAAGGGTAGATTTTGAATAAAATACGAATATCTTTATACAAGTTATTATGAAGCA